ATGACGCATTTGAAGCCAGTTTATTACCACATCCAGCCGTACAATAAATCAGCCTGCAGAAACAGTCACAACAACTGTTATGTAACATTACACATTGAAGCTACCTTTTCTGTGTAAGAACAACATTACAATAGAGGACGCTAGGAAAACACAACTGCATTCTTAAAACTGCTTAAACATTAGGCAACTCTGTATTAGCTCAAGTACTTCTGTTCACTGTCATTCGCATTACCATACTATGACAGGCAGCAGGGTTTGTCTCAGTTTACTCTCACTGCAGTTTCCTCTGCAGCCTGATGCAGTCTGGATGATTGCAGACCACGGATCTATATTAGAGGTAGTAGTAATACTGCAAGAGGTAAACTCAGGATACTGCATCAGCTAGATGCTGCAGAGTAGAGGCATTTCCAGTGTGTGTTAACCCCACTGCTCTGCATCAACCTACACAGCATGCTGGCATGATAAATGTTATGCAGACTATAAACTGCTGGGTAGACATCTCAGTGAGTGCACACACACAAGCTGCTGTTCAGCTTTGCCATCCAAATGTGGTACTATTACACTACGCACTACTACACTAATTACACACTTTTTATGTCATTAATGTCCATACATGATTGATAACAGTACTGCTGTTTTTTCTTCAGCTTAATGACAGATATTTTTTAGTTATCTGGCTGAAACAAACACTAAAAATCAGTTATTACTGCTGTGCAGAAACGGCTACATACTGATCACTACAACAGCTTCCATTTTAAAGCTGCTGTAATCCATATTTTTATATTTAAGAATGGATCAAACAACTACATCTGTGTTAAAGGGGCCTGTTGTTCCACTTTACGTTACCTACCACGCACCAAAATGTGAGACTGACAAAGTTAGTGCCTAGCTGATGAATACAGCTAAAAAAAAAAAATCTGTGAACACAAATTAATGTTACATATTCTTGATGTTCGCAGGATCATCCATGAAGATGGCTATTCAGAAGATGAGTGCAAGCAGTACCGAGCAGTGGTTTATAGTAACACCATCCAGTCTATTATGGCCATTGTTAAAGCCATGGTCAGCCTCAAGATTGACTACAGCAACCCTGCCAGACTGGTAAGATGGCCAACACGCAACGCTGAAAAATACTGTTATAGCATTAGAGTGTGGATACCTGAACCAAACCCAAAGGGACCCATCAGTACCTTGGGGTCCGGACCGGGTTCAGGCACAAATTGTCCGAGTTGGGACATGTAGGTCAAACTTTAGGCTAGAGAGCTGGAGCACTCAGATGTCTGCTTTGTTCAACAGCATCGGGCTCGGGTTGGGTTTTGGACATTATATACTATAACCTAACAACTAACTTATCAAAAAACCCTGATTAGTGGCTATAGGTCCTTTATAACCAAACAAAGTGAGGATAGGGGCATATAATATGCATAGGAGTGAGAAAAAGTCAGTTTGTGGCCGAGAATCTGGCCAAAAAATGTGTGCATCATTACATCAGTATTTTATATTTTATTATTGTTATTTAATAATGTTTTATTGTTACAATTTTACATCTGACCACAAGCAACAACTCAAGATGTTTAATACCAGTCACTCTTTTTCCAGACAATTAAACGGGGAAAACACAGCCTCAACTTCCTACAAGAGACAATACCCAGGCACTTGTAAAAGTCATGCTATTATGCACATGTAAAGATAATTATTGAATATTTGTAGTTTTATAAGAGTGCGAGCAGAAATCCGACCAGCCTCAGAGTCATTACTGTGTGAGAATGCAGAATTCAGTTGGCATTATTATTTCTGAACAGATCGGACTCTCCCTCAGGCCACAACAAAACAAAGCCTCTTACAGTTGTGTATCATTTACCTTTGTTTCTCCGAGTCACTGTGTCCTTTTCACTTTTCCTTTGTCTCAGAATTGTAGTTCACCACAGCAGCCTGTTTATTTCTGGCAAAGTTGCTCTCGGTTTAAGATACTGAAACACAATAAAATGCTTCTCTGATTCAGCCTTATAACCTGAAAGTGTTACAGATTTAACTACATTTTTGATCTACTCGCTTCGCATTTAGTAGCATTTAGAGAAGAAGCTTAAAGCGTGCTTAATACCAGCAGCAGCAGCAACCAGGTCTTTGAGGCCTGTTTCTGGGAATTTGATTTATTCAAACATACTGGCAAGGCACATTTTAACAACACATTTAATTTGCCAGGCGGTTTCTGCAGATTCAGCAGTGACACAGGTTAATTCCTTGTTTTGAAGGCTGCAGTACCACCTGTAAAAGGAAGACCTCAGGGGTGGCCTTAAATTGTCTGGTTTGTGCTTTTTAAACAGCAGTGAATTAACATTTCATGTTTACCTAATTTTTCCCCTTCCTTTTGTCTAAACTAACATCCCCCAGCCTAGTGGCCATTTGCTAAACCCCTGCCCTGAACAGCAGTCTGCTTTCAAAGAGTGTGGTGGTTTTGTTTCACCCCCCTTAAAAAAATAAGAGTGAGGGATTAAACATTGTTTTTTTACATAAGATGTCAATGATAGTATGTCCAGTAAACTACTGTAGCTAACAAGCACCATTTCCACTAATTACATGAGTTGACATTTTTTCTCTTATCTTCTATATCTATCCATCCATCCATTATCTATACTGCTCCTGAAGAGGGGTCACTGGGAGGCTGGAGCCAATCCCAGCTGACACTGGGCAAGAGGCAGGGTACACCCTGGACAGGTCACCAGTCCATCACAGCACAGAGTCTTCTATTTCTAATATTTTGTATATCTTTTGGATTTTGGACTGGTGGTCTGCGATTATTTAGACATTTTATAAATGAGATGCTTAATCAACTAATTTAAACACTTTGATTAATCAGTAATAAAAATTATCATTTGGATCCGTTACAGCCCTAATTAACACAAACAAAAACATGGTTTCTTCCGCGCTGTCGCCAAGTGCTTGCTCAAGGAGGATTTGTTGGGTTTTTCCTCTATAATAATAGTAAGGTCTAGACCTTATTTGTAAAGTGTCCTGAGATGGCTTTTGTTGTGATTTGGTGCTATACAAATAAAATTGAATTAAATTGAATATTCATTAAACTATATAGAAACACAAACCAATACACAAATACAGACAGACACACCCTGCTCATACAAATGCAGGAGACATGCATCACCATCAACAGCAGCTTCAGGCACAGATCCAATCTGCTGCACACTGTGAACACTTATCTGCGTATGAACAAGCTGTCAGTGAGTTCTAACAGTGGCTGTGTTCTTTCCTGTGGAGGAGTGTGTGTGATGTTACAGTGAAACCAGCCTGTGTGTTCTGTAACTGAAGCTGTAATAAAAGGATTGAGGACTCGGCCGTGGCCATTCGAGTGGGATGGATAGATGTTGGCTTTTTTTTCCCCTCTCTGACAAATCTGTCAATTGGCTGCATGTACGTGATGATACTCTCACAGACTCCCACACATGGCAATCAGTGTGCTAGCCTGCCTGTACTTGCATATAGCAGCCGTGTAGTCGTGCACACAGCTATGCAGATTGCACACGTACGCATATGTGCAAACACAAACACCTATGTGGAACCAAAATGTACACACACATCTTCATTGTTATTTTGTTGCTTAGTTTGGTTGAGGGAGCAGCAAGACTTCCAACAAATGTATTACATTCCCAGAGACTCACTGCTGTACGAACCAGTTATTACTGAACAGCTGAGCCAATGCTATGCTGACACAGGAATGCACAGAGAAGACCAGGGCATTATTTTTCATATTGTTATCATAGCATTCATATAAGAAGGATGATTTCAGGCCAACAGAGAGAGAAGACAGAGAATTGGGAAAAACAAACGAGGTGGCACACAGCAGGAAATCTAACCACAGACTGTTATAGCAGTGCTGCATACCGTTACCTTGAGTCACACCAACATTATCTCACATAGCTTACATTTGCTAACCCCACATGGCATCGGCTTATAAGTTTCAGTGAAATCATCAACACATTATATTGCTACTATCCTAACCTTTGCTTCCTTGGCAGTGGTTCAGAGACCCTGAGACTGTATATAGTTTTTATTTTGCTTTACGTGTCTAAAAACTGAACTCTCTGTACCCAGATCATCCTAAGGGGGTTGTATATGCTGTGCCATTTTTCCCTCAAACTAACAGATGATGTTCACCTTTGCTAATGTTTGCTGTGCTGTAGATCACACATATTACTCACCTATTCTGTATATACTGTTTTATACTTCCATCTGTAAGGATTTGTAAAGATAGCAGTGTGAAAGTATATTTTGGCATTAATGCTATCATTGTAACAACCCAATGGTTTGTCCTTATCGCCCCCTGCAGGATGATGCCCAGCAGCTGTTTGCCCTGTCTGCAGCTGCTGAAGAACAGGGCATTCTTCCTGATGACCTGGCCAATGTGATCAGGCGGTTATGGGGTGATAGCGGCATACAGAGTTGCTTTGCAAGGTCACGAGAATACCAACTGAACGACTCTGCGGCATAGTGAGTTTGAATTTGTGTGTATTATATACAGGAAACAAATACAAGGTAAAACCTTCCAGTCATGTGTGAGCTTGATTTAAATCATTTTATTAATATTCAAGCTGCCTTTATTAACACCATTCTACATATCCTCTTCTTATTGTACATCAATCAATATGTAATCTGCTCCACTATAAATGTAAATGTGGCCGAGTGGAAAACCACACAACCACCCAATAAATGTGCCGTCTCTCTCTCTCTCTCTCTCTCTCTCTCTCTCTCTACGTGGAATGTAAGTAAATCTGTTTGTCAAGTGATGTCATGAAAACAGTTTTGCAAAGCCTGAACCTGAAACACTTCACTTTGAGAGAGATCAGAATATTAACAAGAATATCAAACGGTTTGAGAGAGTGACTAAGATATTTTGGCGTATGTCTTTATTTGGTTGTGCCTGTGCTTTTATGTTGGTGTCGTATTAAGAGCTGTTTATTGTTACTGCCTTTAAGGGAGACTGTTCTCTTGGTGATCTGATGGTGTAGTCCTGCCAGCCTCTCTCATACGCGGTGCAGTGAAAAACCCGTCTTTGACTTCTCTGGGGAGATGTAAACTGGAATGATAGTCCAATTATTTCTTCCTCTCTGGCTTTGATTCTTTAATATGATAACCCCATAAGCAGAGCACATAATACTTTATCTTGATGGAAGAAAAATGAGACGACTCAATTGTGTTTACTTCTAGAAGAAGTAGCCTGAAAGAAAACTCTGAGTGTTCATAGTTATGATAATAAACCCCCAAATGACTGTTGTTTGGAACAAGTTGATTCATTTTGTGGCAATGTTATATGAAAGCTAGAAACGGTGGTGTGATATGTTCATAATCATATGCCATTGAGAAATACTTTGTAATGTCTGTTATGGTGAAATGGAAAACTACTTGTTTAACAATGTATTATGTTTTTATTCACTTTGGTAAATGTGCCAGGTTTTAACAGCTCATTATTATAATTATTACTATGTGGACTTGGCATGTATGAATGGTGAGATCTGTACATCTGAAACACTGGGTGTATAGCTGCTTCTGCCTTTGAAGAGTAGGTTGGCTGGGCCGCTAAAGCTCCCAGCTGGTCTTGACTGATGATGCAATGCTTGTGTAAGTGGGGCAGGCTGTGTCAAGCATGGTGAAAATACTTCCACACTCCTCTGCTGACCAACACTCTGTCTGAAAACAAAGAAAAAAACAAACAGGATAGAGGGAGCGTGACAAAGGACAGCTGTGAATGGAGAACACAAAAGGACAAAAGTGAAGGGAACGCAGCCCTTTGCATAGCATGAGAGGATGCAGCGCAGTGTCTTTTTCCTCTGTGTGAATTTTATCTTGCATCTCTCTCTTGTATAAACCCTCTTCAACATTTTTACATTGTTTCAACAATGCCCTTACAGGAACAAAGGCTGGCTGCAATCTTGCGTTTAAGAGGCAAGTCATCTATACAAATTGATTTGTGCTAAGGGGGCTGGTGGTAATCCCTTGGTGGTCTCACATAGACATTTCAGTCAGCCGTTTTACATGAGGATATACTATGTGAATACAGAGTAAGTGCAAAATTGATATTTGGCATCCACTCTCTGACCTCATCTCACTCCCCACACAAGAATAAAGCAAGCTCAGCACAGCAGAGTCTAGAGTGACTATGTAAAATGTATTCGCAAAAACTGCATACAGAGCCTTTCACTGGCTATTACCTATATGTATTACAGTAGATGTGATATATTGTGAACTGAGATGGACAAATCTAAACCCAGCAAAACCAAGTGTATGGGTTGTATCAATCAGATCATTTCTTAAAGAATTTTATGAGGCAGCAGATCAGTAGCAACACATACATAAGGTAAATTTTAACAGCAAGTGGCCAAGTGTTGCAGAAGAAAACTATATCAGGTAACAGTACAACAGATGATTTCAAGTGTGGATAACTACCTACAGGATCTTGTGTGCATAGCCACAGTGAGTGTTCAATGAGGACACAGTACAGACAAATAATGTGAACAGATGGCATGCTATACAACATGCATCACGTTTACATTACCTGAGCCAATATACAAAATCCCATCTATTAGAGATCTGAGTCTGCAGTGAACCACTGCAGGATGAAACCTCTAACCAAGCAGAAAATGTGCTGCATCAAAATACATGTACCAAACAAAAACAAAACTATTTTCCAGTGTTAGGAATGAATTGAGATTTTAGCCAGCTGCATTAGTGACACTGGTAAACATTATCTCTCCAGGCTCAGGAGTAGGCAGAGGTAACTGGTTAGGGGTAGGGTAAAGGTTAGGTTCAGATTAAGCTAAAACAGACTTCACTTTCCCCAGAATCTGCTCTCTAACCAGATAACCACTCTGTGCTAACGGAGTAGTGCCGAGCAGAGCCGAAGTTGTAAACCTGTTGGGTTACAGTTAGTGTTCATGTTAAGCATAGCCACTAATTCTAAACCTGTCTAGGTGAACAATGTCCAGCTGCTGTTGCCAACTTCCTTCTGAGGTCAGCAGTCTGCCGTCTTGTCTGCAGCCAGGTTCTCTTTGTATTACTGATACTGCTGTGTTACCAGTTGAGACAGTCACTTTAAGGGTAGCTTTGTGTACATGTGTTGGTAGTTAGCTATGCAATAGTGTCATCCCCACCAGTCTATCAGTGTATGAAATCCCAGCATGCAGCCGGTGTCAGTAGCAAACTGTCAATGGCTATGTGAAAACAATCTGACAGTGTACGCAGGGTAGGGCAGTTGTAATGTTGAACCTACACAGAATTATCACCTGAATCTGCATCGGTTTTACAGAGCAGTACAAGGAGTTTCAGACTTTAGTGTTTGGATCACTCTCACTGTTCAGTGTTGTTTTCAGGCTCAGCTGGCACCAACAAAGGAACACAAACCTCTATCATTCAGCAGTTAAAGATAATGTCCTTCAGGAGTTGGTAGAGAACAAAAACAGAGATAAAAGAGTGAATACTGGACTTGTTTTTGCCAGGTGGTCAGAAAGATGGCAGTGATATACTGCATGTGCTCCTAACTTGTTTCCATTACCTCCAAGTGGCCGAAGAAGCCAGTTATTGCAGGTTTGTTCTAAAATGCCTAAAGGAGCACAGGATATGGTTCAGGAACTGCAGAATGATCCTGTTACTGCAGAGCTGATCTGGACTGTTAAGGCTTATTAGCAGCTGCAAGACAGGCTTGATTAAATCTGAGTTCTCTCAGCCACGGTTCTGAGCCACAGTTCTGGGAGGCTAAGTAACAATCCCTTAAAAGGCGCTTAAATCGTCTAATGAAAGGCCATCAAGTGAAGTTTAGCAGCCTATTACTGAGTGCAGCAGAATATGAGTCACTCCACAGAAAGTTCACAAAATTACTAGAGTTCATTACAGTTCAAAGCAGTAAAGCAAAAAACTGTTTCGAATGTTAATGGAACACAAGTGCATCATTGACCTGTGTGTTTATTTGTTGCGTCAGCCTGTTTGTTTTCCCTTTCTCTTTTGAGATTGCGAAATATGTTGACACCTTGCTCTCTCTCTCTCTCTGTGTGTGTCTCAGTTACCTGAACGACCTGGAGAGAATAGCTAAAGCAGATTACATCCCCACCCAGCAGGATGTGCTGCGAACCCGGGTCAAGACCACTGGCATTGTGGAGACTCACTTCACTTTCAAGGAACTACACTTCAAGTAAGATCAGATAGCACTGACCTTATAGCAATGTTGATAGGTTTTTAGGCATTTTTGGTAACAAAAACAAATAAATAAATGAAAAACAACCCACTCTCACCCTGTCTCTCTGTAATCAAAACAAGCACTTTGGCCATTTGCAGCCACTGTGAGAGAGTCCAGGGAACTCTCAGTTTGCAACTTACCCACAGTCAGAGGGCGTATTAAGTAACCGGAGCGGTTATACGGCTGCCTAGAGCTCACTCACCTCTGATGCTGGGCTTTAAGTGTTATTTGGTGGTGCATAAAAACAGCCTGTTATCAGTTAGCCTTACTGACCACACAAGCGCATGTGAAACGTGACATGAATAAAATGTAATTTCCCCTGGTTATATTTCGGGAGACCAGCAAAGTAAAGCCTAGCTTGGATATTAAAGTAGCAGGGTGAATAAATGTATGTCATCACATTAGGTCCTGTCACCTGCTGCACTCAACACCAAATCAAAAGCACAACAAACACTGGCTTTGTACCTAATTTAACACAATACCCAGAAATTACGAAACCTAATTTTTGTCCCGTCATTAACTACATCAAGGGGCAGCTAACACTCCTAGCTTATACCAACAATTAAAAGCCTAATTTTCACAACTGCACTGAGAGCTGAATAAATAAATTAGCTCCTGCCCACTGTGCTCTTGTTCAATAAAAGCTGAGCTTTATTTAGAACTAACATTTGAGTATGTCCTCCATGGCACAGAACCCTTGGTCTTACATAAAATATGTAACTTGAGCACGTAGAGTGTGTGTGGGATAGTAGTGTTTGAATATTTGATATCAGGACTGGTACTGACAGAGTCAATTCCTGTACAGTATAGGTGAATATATAAAATATGCTATATAAAAGAGCACTGAGTGTAACTGTGAAGAGAATTTCTGAAATTATAACAGACATCAGTTGTTTGGTTTGTGTTTTTTCAGTGTCAAACAGTGTATAAGATAACCAAAGCTCTTAAAAAACAGGCAGTGGCAGCAACATGGTTCTGGTGTGACCTGTTTCCTGATAAACTTTCTGATATTTACCGTCTGTCGCAGCCCCAATATTTGGCCTGAATAATTCATGTAGGCAATCAATGAGAAGAAAGTCAAGCTTTTATCATTCTGTCCCATTTTCCACAATAGGTACTGAAAAGAGGTATTTAGAGATACAGAGAAATGCCACTTCATTCTGATTTATTAAGATGGTACTTCTTGGGCATCTGCTAACTGAAACAGCTTGTTCACTGAAACCTCATATTTGTTGCCCGTATGGCAGCTGTCCTGGATGTTGTTGACTGTTTTCACTTCAGCTGTCTGTAGGGTTTTGCTCACACCTCTAAAAGCTTCGATCACAGCGCTCGTCTTCCCCATGAATACAAAGGCCTGCCTCACGTAGCCTGCATTGACTTTGCAGTTTTTTTTATCGGATATTCGACAGACAGCTTTCCACGTCCTCACCCCTTTTGTCCTCCAAGCTTCGTGAAAACTTAATGTACATCCAGGGACGGAATATCACCTTAAATTGCTGCTTCCTTCCTCTCTTCTTCACCAGAATTCCTCCTGAGATGTCCTTCTGTTCCCTATCACCTTCACCTTACTTTGTTTCATTGTTACGTTTTGTCCACACCATTGCACACACACAAACACATGGTATACTTTATCTCCTTTGCTTCATCTCCCTCCTTGCAGAATGTTTGATGTGGGAGGCCAGCGCTCAGAGAGAAAGAAGTGGATTCACTGTTTTGAAGGAGTCACAGCTATTATCTTTTGTGTTGCACTGAGTGCTTATGACCTGGTGCTGGCTGAAGATGAGGAGATGGTAAGGAGAAATCCATCTTCTGACGCATGTGTCTTATTTGTCTGGATGCTACAAGTTAATTAGATTTGTAAAGCTGCTCTCTAGCTCATTTTCAATATCAGTAGTTTCCAGTGTGTGACACTACAAGGCACTTAATATCACCTATCTCTCTTTATTATGGTGTAATAATAGACATTTTTCACAGCAGACATTTTGAATTGTCATAGCAGGAAATGCGCAGCTGTAATTGACAGCATTCATGATGGCTGTGTTTCATTTCTGTGAGCCATTTCCAGGATCCTGGCATTGTGCATGCTTGCTGGGTGACATTGTTTAGTGGGACACTTAGTGGAACTCAGCCACCATTAATGATGTTATCTGCACATGTGCTTTTTCTGTTATGACAGTTCAAAATGTCTGCTGTGAAAAACGGTCTCTAGATGATCAAATTGGCTCATTGGAGTTTAACATCACATCTGCAGTTGAGCCAGTGCAATGCAATTATGTAATAAAAGCCCTACTAGCTCATTTTTCTGGTGACTTGAATAGGAGACTTGGTCCAAAGATGATCTGAAGAACCTCTTCTACACTGGTTAACCATCACATTTAAAATATTACACAACACTGCCCCCTGGTGGCAGCTCTGAAATGTTGTTGTGCTTTAGTGGAGGCCGTAACCCATGGCCAGTTTTGCTTCTCTTCAGAATCGAATGCATGAGAGCATGAAGCTCTTTGACTCCATCTGCAACAACAAGTGGTTCACTGACACTTCCATCATCCTCTTCCTCAACAAGAAGGATCTCTTTGAGGAGAAGATTACTCGCAGCCCCCTCACCATCTGCTTTCCAGAGTACACAGGTATAGAGTGGAATGTCAGGGGCTACACCACACCTGAGTTCACTGCTTTAATGGTCAAACATCCACAGTAAAACCACACACAGGTCGCACTCGCTATTGAACTGGCTTTCTAACAAATCACATAGGAACTGCTAATCTCTCATCTTAAAAACAAATCACCTCCTCATCTCTCACAACTGTTGCTTCCTAGGAGCCAACAAATTTGATGAAGCAGCCAGTTACATTCAGACCAAGTTTGAGGACTTGAACAAGAAAAAAGACACCAAGGAGATCTACACGCACTTCACCTGCGCCACTGACACCAAGAACGTGCAGTTTGTCTTTGACGCTGTCACTGACGTCATTATCAAGAACAACCTGAAAGACTGCGGTCTTTTCTAAAGGTAGAACACAGAGACGGCGGGGGATGAGAATGTTACCTGTAAAACATACAGATATTATTGCCTTCTGATCTGATGTGTAGACAAACCGTTTAAATTCGGCTGTAATGTGAATATTCCAAACCATACCGTGAATTTATTTCCCCACCTATTGACTAGTTCACATAATTCTGTCAGGCTTGAGAGGGATTGTTTGTTTGATAAAAGTAGCTCCTGTAAAAACAGCCCCAGCCTTTCCAGCCTTTTTTCTTTCAAGGATAAAGGATATCATATATGATACAGAAAAAAAAAATGATTTGGGACTGTATAAATAAACTGACTTGACTTTACAGTGAGATCTGTGGATTAGCCACATAACAGTGATGTATCTGTTGAGTTAAAGAGAAAGTATGGTTGTGTGATCTGGGTGAACCAAATATTTTTGAGTTTAGCAAGAATTTAAATTATGTAGTATGTAATGTAAACTCATTTAAATGCTAATAACCAGATTAAGCAGGATCAGTAAAGTTCTTGTACATCACAACAGTTGCAACAATTCTTCTCTCTACCTCTGCTGTGTTTCTCTAAATCTGTTTGTCATCTTTGTTTTCATGCAGGATGATGTCCGACGCGCACACACTGCATGAGAGACTGCAGCAGCCATGTGATGATTACTCCTTTTCATAATGAAAACCATAACAGACTTGATTCCTAGAGGGGAAACCTGAAATAACTTCAACAATCACTGATTTGCAGCCATCACATTCTCTAATGTATTGTTGTTATTATTATTATTATTACTTTATATATATATATTTCTTACCGCACATCCTGAACACAAAGTAAATACTGAGTAAAAACATACAGTATTTGACCAATGACTCCCAAACTGGACCTAAAAGAACCACTTGCAGTCAAGGCACTCACCTGTGAATTGCTGTTTTTAATTGGATATACAACAAAAAGTTTATCAGCCAACTTGCTAAAGTGTAAAAGAACCGTTGGAAGTGTAAAACCTAAATGAAAATACAGTTAACTGTAGTAAGATTTGTAGTTTCCATCCTCATTAAGTCTTCAAGGACCAGTACAAGAACCGCTCGTTTGCTCAGTCTCATTTTGTTCATATTTAAATCTCAGTTTGATTTGATTTTTGTAAGTTTTCTTTTTACTTTTTTTTGGAGTTTAATAACAGGATAGAGTAAAACAACTTTTTATAAAAATCACATTAACTTATGTTAACTATTGTTGGTATTTTATGAACCTTTTGACTGCACAGAGCTTATTTTTAGAAGAAAACAGACAAGCACGGAGAACGATAATGATGAAGGGAAAATGTTTTGTACAATGTTTACACAGAATCAATATTCACAACTGTATTATAGTGCATTGTTCTGCATGAGTGTCCATAGATTAGCCTGTATCCCCCACAAACAAATAACATTCCTTAAGTAACTTCTTTAAAGAAACAGAAGAGAAAAGGTTATGTGTCACTTCTGAGGTAATTGCAAGATTTTTAAGTGATTATGTCTGTTCCTAACATGAATTGTTCTGTATTATTTGTTTCATTTCAAGTCTTTTGACATATGTTTGTGCCTTGATATCTGTTTACACTTGTTCTTTAGAGACATGGTATCTTCATTGTGTGAATTAGGGCTATTTCTACTTCAGTTCACGTAACCCATGATTTAAAATGCAACAAGACTGAGACAGTTAATAGTCATCATTAATATTAAGATTAAAGTCATTCACTTGTTAAATGTAAATAAAGGTTTGGTCACTCAGTCTTTTATTGTGCATTGTGGTGTGTCAAAGAAAAATGCACAATAACCTAATATTCTCTTCCTTCATGTTTGTACCAAAAATACTGCTCTAAAAAGGGGAGTTACAGTATAGAAATAGACGTATACTGGCACCAGTTTGTACCAGTATTGGTTTAAGACCTCAGGGCTCACAGAAGATCCAGATGGATCCACAGATTTTCTTTATTAAGGTCAACAGGTGACAAGTGAATTCATATTGATGCCATGTGTCCAGTGGTGGAAAGTAAGTATTCTTCTTCTTTTTTTTTTTTTAGCCCATTAATCATTTATTGACTTTCAGATTTATCTTGTGACCCTCTGGAGGAGGCCTAACCCTTAGGTTGGTAACCATTGTTGACTAATCTAGTTAAATCTAGTTCCACTTTAACTAGTGAGATGCTGCTTAGACAGTGTTGCATCAGTATTAACAATCTAATATTGGGATAGGCCTCTGTAACATTCTGTCATAAAGTTCATTTTTCTTCAGAATGAGTAATTGTATTACTTTGTGCTACTTTAAGTACATTCTGCTCATAAAAATACTTGTGTATTTTTCCTCAAGTAGGATTTTTAATGCAAGACTTTAGTTTATAATGGAATATTTATACATATAGGTAACCTATTTCTAGTTTTAGTCAGATATAGACTCTAAGCAAGCTGTGAATGAATGAATTACAATACAAAGCGTTCTAAGCATCCGAAGAGGTGTGAGGTGGGGCTGTATTCATGACTGGTTTACTCATCTGCAAATGAAATGGGAACTTCTTTTGAGCACAGCAGCGTGTTTGCACTTCAAACATCTGTTAAGAAGAGAAGCTGAATGGTTTGCTCAGACTTTACTAAAGGGCATGAAAAGGATTATATTCAGTGGTAATATGACATTCACTGTTCGCAAACATCCACAAGGTGGCGACACGTAGACTCCAGTAAATCGGTACATTTAAAAGCAGTACCACTGAATTTGTCTTAAGAATTTGTAGCTTTTACAAAAGTGGCGATTTATTCTCAACATTCGACTTTACAGTTTACAGAAAATACAAAGAAATGAATTATTTCACTCATCTTCGGTTATTTGCAACGTGTAATAGTATTTAGATAATAAAGAAAGGTTTTTATTGTTTTGTAATAATTTTGTTAGATTTTTTAAATTGTCCATTGCCAGATGTAGAGGCTCAACGGCGCAGTACAATACAATAAACCAACATTATGGACCGCTGTAATTGCACGGGGAAGTCCCTTGTTTCGTGCCATTGGCTGGTTTTGTGGTGCGCTGTGCTGATTTGCTGCAGAGAAAAGCTCAGCATCGTCAAAGTCCGCTGACAGACCATGGTCCGGCTCAGAGGAAGGAGGACACGGTGTCATCTCCACTGTGGGGCTGTTGAATGTACAGGGATTATTTCTGAACCAAATGCAAAGGTGAGTTATTACACATTACTATATGTCTTAATGAGTGTAACAGCAAAACCATGTTCATTTAACTAATGCGCTGTTTTTGTTGCAGAAGCAGTTAACAGGATTCTGAACTTCGCTGCAGACATTTACTCACATGCAATGGTAAGTTTTCTCTTTTCTTTCTTTCCCTGTGCTTTCATATTTGGACAGTTTTCTAGATGCACTGCAGTGGCCTTATTGTGGTTGCAAACGTCATTGCCTGGGGACTTTGCAGAAATGTTTTTGCAAATAAACTTTCGTACAGATAAAAAAAAAAATCCTTTAGTTACCGTTTGTTACTGTTTAGAAAAGCTAGTGTATTTTAATTGCCCAGGTCACAGTTAATTAAACCAAAGTGTCCTTGCCAAATCCATACAAGTGAGTGAATCACTTCTTCCCGTTGTGTGAAAGCAGCCAAGGAGAACGGGGCGTTTTAAAAGTGGCAGACTGACCACAGTGTCCCACTGAGGATGTCTCTGTATGTCAGATAAGTCTCCCCCTGGGGCCAAATGGTTCAGCACCTACAGCTGTGATAACATCATGGCATTGTGGTTTCCTTACTACTCCAAGCCAAATACTGGCAGGGAAGGATACTCAACAACCCAAATATTTTATTAATAGTTAGTAAAAAGTGACACAAAACAAAACAAAGCATTTACGCTTTTGTTTATATGGCCAGAAGAATTAGAAGCCTGCTTTCTGCCACATGGAAACTTGCAAAATAGTTATTTTTGTTGTTACATTTTTGTAAAGTTCATGTGGTGTAGGTGAAACTTTATAAAGTAATGTTTCATCAGCTGATCTGCATTGATTTTACTTTGTCCGAAGGCTGGAAGATGCTGTGATTCATGATTAATACTTGATTATTGTGTAATTCCAAAATGTTGCTGTCATTTCCTGGTTTATAATAAAGACCAGTCAACATCCTGTGAGTTAGAGGAATCCAGAGAGGATATGTCTCTGCACTCCTTTATGATTTGCTCAGACTTCCCCTCTATCTGTAGGAGCCAGGGCGAGTTTTCCCAGTATAAAATGCGTATCCTGTTCTCACAGCCATGCCTTTTTCATTTTCTGGGATCATACTGCATGGGATGGTCTCCATAAAGCTGCTCTGAGGTTTGTCAGGAATGCTTCACTAGTTATATGGTCATAGAAACGAGTGATCTCAGCTGGTAAAAATCTTATTGGCCTGGTACTGGAAATAACACGGGCATCTGTACAAGCCTCAGCTAGAACCGTGAGGCCATGATGGGATATTTTGGAAGTCAGTCTGTAACTGCTCTGTTGTCTGCTACGAAAGTTGACCGTGATTTTTAAATTGTGTTGGTCTTATTTAAACTCTGCTGACACCACTAAGTCTGTGTGTCTTTCTCATTGTGCAGCTGTGTTTAGGAGATTCCGCTGACTGCCTCCGGGACCAAATGCACTACATGATGAGATCTTTTCAGGACCTAAAGCAGATAAACAGGCCGAGGCCACTGAGTGAGCCATGTGTTCGGTCCTTTGCTGTAACACGGCTCTGCAAACAGACCGCACAGCAGGAGAGACTCGCTCGTCTACGTGTTTCTGACGCCAGTGAAGCCAGCACATATGACTCTGCCTGCTGCCTGGCCAGCCCCTTGGAAGAGGAAGAAGACCAGCAGGTGCATGAACGACTGGCACAGGGATCCCCCAGCAGTGAGAAGAGTGTGGACTTTGACTCTGGTTACTCTGAGGCTTCTTGGCAAGATGAAGGTGTGGTGCTGAGGAGGACCAGAAATGTGCGAGTCTCCTCTTCTGCCTGCCTTCGCACAAACAGAGGACCTTCAGGTCGTATTCGACCCAAATCAACCTCAGACGCTTGTCTGGAGCACTGGACTTCATTTGAGTCAAGTGACCCAGAGGACTGGGCAACCTCATTACTGAGCCGCAGCAGGAACAGACAGCCACTGGTTCTGGGGGACAACAGCTTTGCTGACCTAATAAAGAACTGGATGGACCTACCAGAGTGTCCCGAGCCAGCGGAACTGAAGCCCAGTGCAGGCCGGCGCCTTGCCAAAGACATTTTGGTCAACATGCGCAAGAGATTGGCAGGGATGTCTAAAAGTATGGAGGTGAGGCCACAGCCAACATGTGCCACGAGGGTCAGCAGGGCTGCAGAGGCTCCCAAACGAATGTCTTGTCCTGTGGGACTCCAGGCTCTAAAACCTTTCTTTCACCAGTCCCACACAGGCTTGCATCAACTGGACACTGACTTCTATCAGTTCACCGCTCTCATGAAGACTGGCAGCCGACAACCCATCATATGTAATGACATTATTGGATACATTTGAGTGAGGCTGTAACTATGGACTGACACTTCAACACAAGCTAAAATAAGATGATCCTATTTTCATAATTTGATGTTGTGCATAATGTTGATAAATCTGGAATAAAGGGGTTTTTTTTGTATTTAAGGAAAATGTGTCCCATTTGTACCTGAGTTTGAGAAGTTCTAAATTCTTATTATTAGAGCCATCTGTTGCTTTATTTCTTGTGGATAATTGCACAGTTTTAATTTTATCTCTGTCCTGACATCAATGCAATATTTATGTGTTATGGTTTGAACTCAATTAGTTCCCTAGTCAGTGATTAGAAACACAATTACCTGACAAAAAAGTAAGAAATATTTACAATAGTCATCCATATTACATTCAGTTTGGAAAAACCTACACAGTAACTGCATGACAGCTTTGTAAACCCAATGAATTCAACTTTGTTTTCCCTGTTGAAAAATAGGAGGTTGGGTGTGGTCATCACAGGAAAGTATGTGTATGAACTAAACGATTTCAAAGATAGTAGGGGAACAGAAATATATTAGTGAAGTACCCCAAGGTATGATATGGTTCCTCATAAACATTTATTGCATTATTGTTCAAACAGCATTTAATCGCAAATGCTTTCAATCACAGGCCCAGTTACATGACATGATTAAGATTCAGCCAACTCGGAAAGCATGTTAACAATGACAGCATGGTTATGTGAGGGTATGAAGTTAAACCCATTGAGCTTGTGGATGAAAAGAAGCCATCTGAGGACAGATTTAAAGAAAAGCCCAGCTCTTCTGCACTGACCAGCACAGGGATCCTTCAGGGAGGCAGGGAGGGAGGAGGAATGTTTGGAAGAGGACTTTATGCAAGACAGCTGTGTGCAGATACCAAAGCACTCCAGCCTGTCAGAGCACTGTGCCTACTGCATTTTCTGACTGCATCCATTCAGCTTCATCAGCCTGACCTGAGTTAGACCCTGGAGCCGGTCCAGCGCTACCCTAGCAGTGCCAGATCAGCTAATCCATATGTCTTGGCAGGCGTCATTGCTGACCTCGCCAGAGACACATTTAACATATAAATCAAAAGCAAACGTTTTGCAAACAGAACTTCCTGGTAAGAGTTTTTGTAATAATAGTAAGGAAACTACAGGTTGCCAAGATTCCTATTTTGCCATATTATATAATCACAAAAAATCCCAAATGAGATATTGGACATCAATCTTTGCATATTTTGCACTAATATTTTTGGAACAGGATAAAAGATTAATGTGCTTGTGGTATTATTCACTTTACATCATCAAAATGTGGTTAACAATAAATCACTGTGACAGTATGCCAATAATTCAAAAGCATTTTTGAAAAATAAAAAAAGAAAAGGACAGACACTAGAAAAAAATAGGGTGGCATGGTGGTGAAGTGATTAGTAGTTAGCACCCACAACATGAAGGGGACTTTTGTCTAGAGTAGGCTCCAGCCTCCCCATAACCCTTAAAATAAGGGAATATAGAAATCATCATTCAAATATTAAACTTTGTAAAATAAAAAATAAAAAAACTGCTTTAGCATTAAAATCACAGTTTTTAATTTATACAATTCTGGAATATAATGTTTGCTTTGACACACTGAAGCACGTCCATGTGATGCCTTCTCACTCAAACCCTGTGGAAACTTCCTGCCTGTGGCATCACAAAAGCAGGTACCTGATAGTTAGGACAAACTCACAGTCCTCATCTTCATCTTCATCAAATGAGGGAATCAAATCCAGCATCTTCTTGTGTGAAGGGATGTCTTTTTTGGTTACCATTCTCACCACATCAGACACACTGCAAAAAATATACAGTGGATGTCTGAATGAAAAGTTATCAGTTCAACATCTGTGCTCATTTTACTGAACATTTAAATCAATTGATTTTCTAAAAAGTGTCTCTTCCTCACTAAGGAACACAAATATTGTTGTTGCACCCAACAGCTGTTCATCAATTGAATTTTATTATTATCAACAAATTTTATGAAAAGACCAACAACCAGTTGATCCTACCGAGTATTGCCTGTGTAGCCCAGGCCTGATGGAGCGACTTCATTCATGCTACAGAGTTCCATAACAGTTCCAACATCCACTAAACACACTGAGTCACACTGTTGCACTGGCTGACATCGTCCTTCGTTACGACAAACTTGGGGACTGTAGTTTATTTGGAGTCATTACCACCCACATGTACACCATCCTGGGCAGTAAAGACTCAATTGATCAAATGTGTATTAAACGCAGCTAAAGCTAGTTCCCAAATAAAGCACTGCTTCCTCCTGTTTGTGTGACAAGTGCTAGAAGCACAATCACCCAGCAGTTTTAGGAAACTGGTTTGCCTTTTTTAAATATTAAAGTAAAAATCTATGGCCCAATTTCCAGGATCTATGTCCTCAGTTGAGTGAATGGTCTTACGCTGGGAGCCACAGACAGGGTAGAAAAGTTTGAATGTATCATTTTTGGCTTTGGTTTTTTCACGGGAATTACTGACAGCAACATATTGTCAGGGCTGCTCGGCGGCCGCTGCCTCTCTTCCGCCTTTCTCTCCTCTGTTTGCTCGACATGCCTTTCTTCCGCCTTCCTCTCCTCTGTTTGCTCAACCTGCGGGATTCGCACCTCAGCTGTGTTGCATTCTTAATTAGCGATTCGTTTGTCGGTGCACACAGCTGGGGTGCATCCCGCTGATTGAGTCCTTCCTTATTTATACCTCTGGCAGACGCTTCGTAGAATGCTACGCTGACAGACACTGTGCGTTTTGGCTTGACTCTACCACACTACCTACGAGCTACGCTCATTTACACTACACTACATATCATACATATCCAAGTACCGTACTTTCCCATGTTATGTTCTTTTGATACTTTGTGTTCACTTTCTTCACCTGCTACCGTCATGTTTTCCCCCCCAGCACCTGGGTCTGCAAACTTGAGTCCAACCTAAGTCCTCCCTCACCCTCCTGGTGAAGGGGGCTACCATAACACATATAAACTGTTGGCAACCTTAAACTTTGATGATTTTTAGTGTGTTCTTTGTTTTTGAGTTTTTAGTTCCCTCTGCAATGATCCAACACATGAACCCTGGGGCAGGGACACTGCACAGGAAGTGACTAGTAGATAGGGCATTTGTCATGTGTGGCCTGCTGTCCACACATCCAGCACTCGGCCCCACTTCCCCTGTAGCTTAATCTAACCTCAACACCGACACCAGCTCCCCAGAGACATGACTGTCTAAAACAGAAAAGGACATGGACAGTCTGTTTCAGGATGAGGAGCTCACAGCAAGATTTAAACAAAGAACCATTAGAATCAAATACTTAAATTTACCCAGTAAATTAGAAGCTTTCTATCCTAAATTTGATTTATTACAGTTTTCCCCTCTTCCTGTAATCAAAACATCCCTAAATGTGAATATTCTACTGGAACTCAGATCTTTAACTGATAAGGAGAGTTCATTGCACAAGTCTTCAGACTCGTTTTAAACACGCCGGGGCTAACGATGCATGTTTTTAATGTGCAGCAGCACTGAACAGGCCTGATCAGCATAACGTCTCTGATGCAGTCACCAATTTAACTCTTGCCCACAACAAACTCAAGGAAACCTGAGGAGGAGCAGCCTCGATGGTCAGTGTTTGGTGATGCGTGAGAGTGTGTCAACAGGCACAGAGGAAACACTTCATCCTACCATTAGTCTCTACACAAACAGTGGTTAGGCTGCTTAGTGTGACTGTTTATGTGTGTAGAGTTGTGTGCCATGCATAGCTGTGCATATGCAACATTGTCTTTAGTGGACCTACCTCTGCCCAAGCCTCTCCTTTTGCCCAGTGTATAAGACAGCTGTTCCGTAGAAGAGGCTACAGATGTTCAAGTTATATTTTTCCTGCACAAAGAAAAAGTAATTCAATTAAATCTGCAATGCAATATAACAAACATAAAAGGCAAACTAGAGATGAGTACAAGACATCGCATGCATGCATTAGGCCAAGGCGATTTCTACAAAGACTGCAGGCTGCAGAGCTAAAAGGTCTGACATTGACATGTGGCCTCAAACAACTTCAGCCGTTCAGGAAACTCTGCAGTGTCTCCACAAACAAACCAGGGGATTTCAGCCAGTCGAAGGTTAAACAAAACCTGAAGCAAATAAGTATACTTGCCAATTTATTTTCCCTTTGCCTCTTTGCCTCTTTAGAACAATGTAGGAGAGCATAAGGGAATCATCACTGGTGTGTGCCTGACTTATACTGGGCCAGGTAAGGTTCCACAACAACAAACTCCAGTAGCATCAAAAAACCAAACGTCAGTTCAGGGCAAGAGGGTGTGTGCATAACAAAACCTGCAAGGAGTCATGTCCTAAAACATTTCTGTTGCAACTGACTTAAAAACAATGTCATAGAAAGCATATGTGGTGCTGTGTATCTGTGAGCACTAAGAGAAACAGGACAAGTTTGCTTTATGTAGCAGTCACAAAACCAAACAATATGATGACAAATAATACACTGATCTACAGCACTGGAGAAAGAACAACTTGACATTTGTTTAATACATTGTTGCTCTTGTCCTCTGTTACTGGTGATAAGTATGTTGACCCTCGTCTGCTGAGATAACTCAAGTGTTGCAGAGAAAACATTAAAGAGTTAAAACTCTGAAAACAAATCATATCAAGATCAAACTCGTGCCACTGAAGATTGAATTGGAACAGTCCTGACATGTTTATCCACTCATCTCAACCTAGTACTTCTGTGTTTATTTGGCTAAAGGTAGCATTTTGCTTATTAAAGAAACAAGATGCATGTTATGTAGTTGTTTGAAATTGTCTCAGTTTACCAATCAAAAATTTACCTTTACTTCTAAAGCTCACTACTGAACAGATATTATCTGAAAAACAATAGTGTAAAAACAATAAATAGCGGTGTTATAGTGGTGTCAAAGTTTTCCTCGAGAGAAACCAGTGACTTTGGGGAGGTGTGATAGTAGAAAAGAGTCGTCTGGTTGTGAATATAGGTGTAAAGTGGCCAGTCGCTGTAAACAATGGGCACTGTGTGGAGTGGAGGAAGAGGAGTGAGTTGAAGAAAATAAAACATGCATAAAGTATGTACTGAGTAGTACTCGGTGCAGAGAAAGTTTCCTTGCTGAGAGAAATAAGGACGCCGTACCTTGATATACTGAATCAGATCTCGATCCCACAGGGTGTATTTGTTTCCTGCGATCTGCCAATAGACACATTACATACGCACACACACACACACACACACACACACACACACACACACACACACAGAGTTGACAGATGAAGTGGCACTTGATGCGAGGGGTGTGTAGAAAATGTTTAGGTCCATAACAAGAGTCCTGGACCCCCGCAGAAAGAGAGGGGGCATTTTTCATCACAGTTGCAAACAGTCTGCAGCAGCATAGACCTGAACAAGCTATAATGAGGTCAAGAAGGTGCATCCTCAAATATAATGAAGTGACTCGCTTGTTGTTCTCAAACCTACAAGACTTACTTCTCACAGTTTTACAGTCATCCTGCGCTTTTTGTAAAAAGTCCATGTAGCTATGTCAGTGTGGTGTCAGTGTGGTCATATTGGTGCAACTTTAGAAAAAGTGGTAAACTGATATCTATGTGAATAGAAATGTGTTGCTGTAGGAGGTGGAATAACAAATAATTTGGAATTTGGTGGAATAACAATAATTTGTTATTACTGGAATAACAAATTGGAATTTTTGTGATATCTTGCTAAGTTTGAGCTTTGAAGGCCCATTTTCTTCAGAATTTCTTGCAGCTCTTTGTCTGAATATGTAAACAGGCTTAAACCGCTGAGTCAAAATGGGGAATGATATTCTGTCACTATAACAGTGATCCTCCCACTATAATACATGTATGACATACTGAAAAAATAATTTGTTAATCATTTAGTTGATGACTGAAAATTAACTGGCACTCTTTGACTGTTATCATTTAAGTAAAAATACCAAATGTGCTATTTGCAACTTTTCTGTTATAATAACATTGTAAACTTAATCCTTTAGGTTACTGGACTTACTCATATGTGGACTATAATAAATAAGATATTTGGATTAATTCCCCGGACACCATGGATATCTGTACAAAATAATTAATTCTGGACAAAGTGGTAGATTGACCAACCCTGTCATCCCTAAAGTTACACTGCTAGCTTGGATAAAGTCAGAGGATTCCTACCATGAGGATGATGTTTTTCAGCCAATAGCTGGAAGCCTTTATGATAAGAGAAACATGGAGATAGAATTGTGTGTGTAAATAAATGTTAACAGTCTAAGATGATTTTACTAACAGTTATATAAGTCATCTCCTTCTCCTGCCTCAGGCCCGACTGCCACCCTGAAGCACTTCACACCTCATGAGACCAGATTTTAGAATGGAGGACCTGACGGTCACTATTCCAGTAGAATCAACCTTTGACCGACAGAATACATAGTCCTGAAATTTACGTAGATCAATTCAGCCCCTGCAAACATAAAGACAACTGTTTCTGCTGCCACCGAATACTTGTCATCACAAGACCATAAACATTATAATCCCCATGTGTAAGACCCAATTAGGAGAAACATCACGTCATCTAAAATGGGCCAGGATCCGTCTCACGCAAAAAATCCAGTCCAGTGAACCTGCTTACATTGGGGCCGTCTGGTGAGAGAAGTTGTGACGATCAAAACTTGGCTCACAATGTGAATATCAAAACTCCAGCAAAACCTGGGTCCAATTATCTCCAGCAGCCAAGGGGAACCTTTCGACTACCCCTCACAACTCCCACCACTTATGGAGTTTGGGTTATGGAGACATTCTCGAGGCATAGACTACTTTTCCTCATGTCTGACTGGGAGTCTCGCTCCTTTGTCCCAGTTTTCAAAGTGTGTTTTGTTTGTAAAATGCACATCTTACCCCTGGTCATGCTAGCTTCTTTAATGTTGAATTTCCAGTACAGCCACAAACCTTCCATGGGCCGAACACAGCTAGAGTCTGATATGCACACAGTGTATGAATTTAAAGGATTTTTCAAATATATAGTCATTGTTGGACTCTATAATGGACCTTGTTTTTCAGCGGCCCCATGCCAGAGATTTTCATGAGCATTTTAGTGTGTGGATACTGATTTGACACAATGCAAAATAAGCATGCACTCCTATTTTTACTCCCTCTCCTCCCTTCCTCTCTCTCATATCTGCCGCACAACTCTGGTAGGAACCTGAAGGCAATCAACCAGCCATCAGTATGTATGTAGAGTGACATCAACTCTTCAACACTATAGCAGGAGGGAAAAATTAAGCAAGAATCCTGGAAACAATTACAAATGGTTTTGCCACAAGCACAGCTACAGTATCTTTTTGTCATGGAAAGACCACACTAACAAGAAAACCAAAAATGGCCCAGTGAAACTGTTATATCTGGGGAAAGTAAGAAATATGAAACAGAGAGTTATTGTTTTCCTCTTAGAGCAACACTGAACCAAATCACCAGCATTGAAATAATCTGCTAGTGTGTTTGTATATGTGTGTGTGTATGTACATATACAGTATATCACGTGTATGTATATATATATATGTATTAATTATGTAATGATATCTAATGATTTTTAAACACATTTAAATAAACCAGCTGCACTCAAGAAGTCATCAAAAGACTAGCTGAAAAGAAGAGCTGATTTACATAATATCACCTACAGTAATTATCCTGAGGTTAGAGTATAGAATTACCATCATGAGAGGTCAGCTGTTATGTTGAAACCAGGTGCAACTTGGTGGTTAATCACAGCTGCATAAAATCTGCCCTGCCTTGTGGTAACATTTTGAAAATCGCAGGGTGTAACGGTTGAGTGGGCTCAGGCTGAATGCATTAAAAATGTTTCCGTTTTGGCAATGAATATAAAAAATGTTAAGCACACAATGACAAAAAGACACAAGATGTACATACAAGCGTGCAGTGTCCAATCTGTGTGTGTGTGTAGATTCACAGGTCTGTTTGAACATAGAGCAGAGCTGGAAGTCAGGATTCTGGGTAGCTGAATTGCACTGAGTTTGACTTCAGAAGATGAGGATGAGACAAACAGACATGGGCTTGAGTGGAGTGAGCCCACAGTGGTGGACATCAAGGTTTGTAGTCTGTCAGCTCTGCTGTGGTTGGAGGACAGCCAAATGTCTCATTTGCTCTACATACTATAGTCAGTATTATAAATAGCTTTGAACTTCCCTCTAAAACACAACACAGCTGGTTTTTCCAAAACAATACAGAAACACAATGACATTTAAACTGCTTCTTATTTTACAACTACAGCCGTCATAGTTTCACTGAAACTACAGATGATCACAGACGAACACTACTTTTCATGCACATCATATATGGTGATGTGCATGTAAAGTAGTTCAGTCTCACCTTTATTTTCATGTAACATCTATACAAATCATCTTTATGTTTAATGCTCAACCTTTCCACCCTAGTGGTGACGGTACTGGGACCAGGCTGTGTCTGGTATTAAGGTAGCATTAGGTTGAAACTCCAAATCAGTCCACTCAGCTCGGCCCAGTGCTCCCTCTCTCTGCTCCACTATGCTCTAATACAATCTACTACACTCCCCCAGGCTCTGCCCAGCTCTTCAGATATGTCGATATGAAATTAGAATAAATGAGAATGCAACAAAATGGACTGATCAAACAGGAAACATTGAAAATCTCTGATTGGTTAGAGAGTTCAATCCTGCTCAAAACCTTTTGGAAGCTAATATCTCTACGTTGCTGCCAGTGCTTTTCAATAAGTCTGAGTCACAGGAGGCTTTGACAGCACCTCTCCACATTAAGACAAATTTTGGAGCAGCAAAAATATTTGAAAAATGTTACATAGTGTTGCTTTATAATGCAACCTGCTGATGCCATTTTGAGAGGGCCGCTGAGCGTGGCACCTTTGGTGTCCAAAGCTTTTCAAATGGTTACAATTTATAGTACTACATTGTTGTACTTCGAATGTACTAGTGCTTCAAATTTAAAAAATAGAGTTGCAGTTCAGAGCTCTTAGAATAGATCCAATAGCATCTGTTTAAACTGAGCCACTATTATATGGGTGGTTTTCCCTAGAATTTTGACTAGGCAGAAGTAAAAGTTTGGTGGAAATCTGGTGGAAATTCCAAAGAAACACATTGTACATCAAGAGCTGCTGTAGCAGAGTCAAATTCTTCGTGTCCAACACAGCTGGCCAATAAAGCTGATTCTGATTCTGAAATTCCTACAGTAGGTCTCTTGTCCTAAGAATTAATGTTCATATTTTTGTGATGAGACCAAATTCTCCATAAATCTCTAACAGTGATTCTGGCCTCTGCCTATTTATTCCCTGTGCATGTTATAAATTCTCTCTCTCTCTCTGCATGACCTGTTCAGATATGAAGTTCCCCAACATCTGATGTGAACAGCCAAAACTTCAGGCTGCTTCCTCTTGCTGACAGGAAGCCTGGCAACCTCTTCTGCTCTTCCTGAAAAATCTGAAAGTAAACAGCAACATCTTCCAGGAAAAAAAGAAGACATTAATCTTATGATAAAATAATCCGCCCTGCTAATTATCCAGCTCTGAAAACATGATTGGATATGAATAAAGCAAAGGCACAAAATAAATCACATGTCAGAGAAATAAAACAGTTCTACAGTCTTGATAAAGTGAGATAGGAAAATGCCCTCAATAACACACCACATTTTCATTTTCATTTTCATTTATTTTGTATTAGATGATTATAAAAGAGGTGCATTGTGCTTTTTATTATGTTATATATTATTATGTATTGTACTTGTACTGTATTGTATAGTATTGAAATAGCCCAAAGACCTCATGTCAAAAATGACCCTTTAGGTACAAGGGAACAGAGGTCAGTGTCTTTTCTAATTTACTTAAAATGGAATATGTGTGTTCTTTAAATGTCATCATGGTTCTGCCTTCATATTTTTAATATGTCCATATTTTAGAATGAGCTATGCACTCAAAACCTTCTTGCTGTTTGGTTTTGGTTTTAACTACAGTTAACAGGTTTGCGAGGTTAAGAGTAAAATAGTTTTTCATAATTGTCATTTTCTCTGGATCGCAGAAAACGAAGAAAGCTCATTAGGGCAGTTAACAACAGAGAACCCAGTACAATACATTCTCTTATGATAACACAGGAGACTGACTGATGGGACCTAAAAATAGGAGCCTCTG